GGCCTAAAGGCCCGACCTTGGGGGATAACAGGCCGAAAGGCCACGACTTGGACCCGACTACGGACCAAAGACCTGACGGCGCCGTTTGAGGCTGCCGCTCTCCGGTTGGACCTGAATCGTCGATCTGGACGGTTCAGCCCCAACCAAGGCCTCGCAGCAGTGAGGCCGGTCCTCTTCGAACCAGTACTTAGTACTGGTCCGGCCTCACTTCGAGGCATCGACCCACCGGTATTCTACGCGGTGCGGTAAGGTCGGCGCCAGAGCGCCGTTTGAAGCGCTATTCCTAGCGCAGGAGCGAAGGGCAGCAGCAGAGCGACCTAGCGCAGCGGCAGCAGCGAGCGAGGACAGCAGCAGCAGCACGGCGGCCATCGCCGCCTCAGCAGCAGCTGCAGGTACCAGGAGGCGGGGATCTCTTCCTCCCTCCTCGGTCCCTTTCCCTCCTCCTCACCTTTGTCTCTCTCTCTCTCTCTCTCTTCTTCTTCTTCCCCTTCTTCTTCTTCTTCTTCTTCAGACCGGAGACCTATACTAGTTGGACAAAGATCAGTGTTGGACTTCGGTGRTAKGAGACTGTGGTACTTACCGGATTGGAGACTTGGAGATCGTYGGGGTTGATACTTGGCGACATCACAGTTCRGACACCGGTTACATTTGGACTCTGTATCCCCGACATTGGTGACCTATGGTCCTCGACATTTTGATCTTGTTGGATGACATTTTGGACTACCATATCGGTGACCTATCAGATCCTATCTCGGTGACTTTTGGTGCTGTCTACCTCCCCCCCACCTCTTCGTCTCTCCTCCCCCATTCATCTGTGTATGTGTGTAAAGGGCTGAGCATCTTCTATGTATGGCTCAGACCCCACCACCTCACGATTGTATGTGTGTGGAGTGATGCTATGTGAGTCAGTCTATGTGAGTCAGTCCGTTCATCAGACTTCCGTTGCATATATGCTCATCCTACATTGGTTGATCCTTGGTTCTGCCCATACTCATTGGAGTATGTAACACGCATCTCATGCGCGGGGTACCGCACGCACATGCACACACAAGTGATGCGGCGCAGTAAAAAAATAGAAAAACAAAAATGTCCTAGTTGTGCCAGCCTCTTTTCGAAAGGATCCCTACAGCATATTAGCCAGGACCCGACGTCATGCAGAGATACACTTCAAACTTGTACTCCCTGAGGGTGGGCAGAGAATATATAGTCTGGATTCGAATTCAGGTCTGTGCATGTCGGTTATGGGTCACCATTTCCCTGTTTTCTCGCTTTTCTTTTCTTTTCTCGTTTTTCTTTTTAGGAATACGTGCAGTGGCCCTAAGGGCCTTTACTCACCAAATGCACAAAAGACAAAACATATGGTGGCGTATTATTCCACGTTCTGCAGAAGATTCATTCTAATTTTGCACATTTCGTGAGTAGTGCAGCCAAGCCCTAACAGTCACGTGCACAGACCAACAGGCCATAGCTACGTGAGCAACCCATAACTGCTGAAACACAGATCTAAATTCAAATCTTGAGTATATTGCAATGAACCCAGATCGCGAAGATCGTTGTCAACAATGCAAGCCCAGATGAATGTCAACCGGCTGATAATTACCAATAATCAAAATTGTGTCCAGACAGAATGAGATGAGATAATCATACACAGACGAAGGAGAGAGGAGGGAGATTAGACAAAGGAGAGGAAATAAAGTACAAGGCCCACTCCTGCTTCGGGCTCCCTCCTCAATCACCACCTCAATAATCAATAGTCTGAACGA